CGCGACGACGTATCACCCTTCTCAAGTGTCCGTCGCGGCTGACCTGCTTACTCGATAACGAAATATTGACAATTATGTGCGGTTAAATCTCGTTTTATCTGTGAATGGTGTTTACCCGTCCAAAAATTCCCCGAAAATCCCTCAGAATGCATGTCGTATACAATATGCAAGAGGTTGTGCGATCCAACTTATTTCGATACAAAAATGGGTGTTGGAGTGGTTTCTATTGAAATTCGCGCTCGACTCTTCGCTGCGTTTGTCGAGATGACCATCGTGCGTAGTGGCTTCATGCACTGAAAACGTGTCGAGGTTGCTGCCCGTGGTGGGTACAGAGACTTTTGAATGCACCACATCTGTTGGGATGCCACGAAGACTGCTGTGGACGGGTGACCTCGCATGGTGTATATCCACCCCAGGCAGGTGACACGGAGTTTGGGAACGATCTGTTGAATCGCATGCCACGTCCAGAATCGAGCGCTGGATTTGCAACGGAGTTGTACCAGGGACAGTGATGGTCGTCCGCGTTGGAACACGGGAGATCAATGACATTTGCCGCGATGTCCATTGAATCTGTTGGTCAGCGTGCGCCGAGCGCCCTCTGCTGCGTGCCGGCGTTGCGGTGTCTCTGGAGTGTGTGCGGTGGAGCCGAATTTAAAGTACATGCATTCACGAGGCAGACAACGTGGTGTATAGAACCTAGACACACAGGCCTCGATGGCCTTTGGCACAACACGTGGGCGCAGCCTTCGTGTAAACACTTCGCAACGCACCGCGACATGGCACTGCTTTGCTCAGTCAACGTAGCAAGCTTCCCCCATCGACCGCGCGCCGCTCACCACATGCATTCCGTCTATTCTGATATCGGGATGACGTTTTGGGTTGAAAATTACACAGCAATCCCATGATATCGCGCGATGGTGGATGGAGATGGGTTCGAGCGGCGGCACAACTCCTACACGATCGATGTCCGTGCCGTCAAAGCAGCTACTGGACGTACCCAGCGGGGGAGTCGCCACGAACGCAATGGACGTGCTCTTCCCCACCCACCACCACTCTTTCCCGATGGCTGGCGGTCCACAATGAGATGCATCCCTTGTCGTGCGCACACAGTACCTTCCACGTCCAGTACACCGTGGCGAGGTACATGTTGCAAGGCCACGGGACCAAAGGAATAGTGCGGGCCAGCACGGCCGTAGAGTTGGACGGGGCGAACGCGGGCATGGCGAGTGTTGGACAATCCCCATAAACTCGTCAATTGGGGAGCGCTGGTGCGCGCCAGAGGACGGTCGTCGGGCCGAGAGCATGGCAGACTCTCGGATCTACCGCATCCTCCTGTGCGGCCGCGGCATCGACTCGTCCCCGCCAGTCGACTGTTTACTGTACTCCACGCCACCGCCCGTAAACGACGCCCTTGCTTGGGTGCGTGGGAGGAGAATGTAGGTTTCGACCGACATTCCGCGACCAGTTCGAAGAAGTAATCCGCGGCGACCCCTCAGCGGTTGAGCCACTCGTTGAGGCGACCATCCACTTTGGAATCGGAGACCAGATGCTCAACGCGCCGCCAAACAAGTACAGCACATTTGAGGCTGTGCCGACGAATGGCCCGCATCCGCTGGACGCTGCGTCGGGTCTGTCCAAGCTAGCGTTTTCGTGGGCCGAGTCGATGATGGTGCTCGGAAACAAGCGCCAGCTGTCGCCTGACGACTTGTGGGCGCTCCAGACGGACAACAAGGTCGCGCCGCTCACGGCTGCGTTCTCGGCTGCGTACCCGACACACAACCGCGGCATCCTCCGCACGTTCTTCTCCATCTACTTTTGGCAGTTTCTCTGGCTCGGGTTTCTCCAAGTGTTCACGGCCGTGTGCGACTTGTACGGCCCAGGGTTTGTGCTGGGCCAAGTGATTGTGGCCCTGGAAGCGCCCGAATTCGACTCGGTCTATGTCCTCCAACTGATCGGATCGCTGTACGTGTTGTCGGCGATCTCGGCATTCGCCAAGGTCCACACCAACTTTTTGAACGACATCGTGGGGATCCGATTCTCGGCGAGTCTGCGCTCGATGTTGTTTGAGAAAGCACTCAAGTTGAGCGCCAAGTCGAAGAAGGAAAAGACGGCGGGTGACATTGCCAACCTGTTCTCGGTTGACGTGATCAACATCATGGTGTTTCCGCTCACGGCGCATCAAATGTGGATCGTGCCGCTTCAAGTCGTGGCCGTGCTGTACTTGCTTTTCCAAGTCGTTGGGTGGGCGTGCCTCGTCGGCCTCGCCGTCGTCGTGACGATCGTGACCGTGAATGCGCAGTCGGCGGTGCTGCTCGGGAAAGAAGAGGAAACGTTGTTCGAACGCAAGGACCACCGCATGAAGCTCCTCAACGAAGTGTTTGGCGCGATCCAGATCGTCAAGTTCAACGCGTGGGAAGAGAAGTTTCGTGCGCGCGTCCAGGAGCTGCGCGACCTCGAAGCGAGCTCGTTGTGGAAGTTTTATCAATACGTGATCGTTCTCATGACGCTCATCAACTGCACGCCCGTGCTCGTGACGCTGTCGGTGTTTTCCGTCTTCACACTGTGGATGCAGCAGGCGCTGACCGTGTCCGTCGTGTTTTCGACCGTCGCGCTCTTCAAGTCGCTCCAAGACGCGATGGCGAACCTTCCGTTCTCGATCATGAGTCTCGTACAGTCGCTTGTGTCGGCCAAGCGCATCAACGACGTGCTCCAGATGGAGGAAGTGAACCCGTTGAATGTGGCGACGCCCGAGTCCAACCCCGAGCTGGCCGCGACGTACGCCAAGGAGCACGCGGTCATTGCGATCGACAACGGGTCGTTTGGGTGGGACGCGGCCAACCCGCTCTTTACGAATGTCAACCTCCGCATCGCCAAGGGCGAGCTCGTCGTTGTTCACGGCGCTGTCGGTCAAGGCAAGTCGTCGCTGTGCTCGGTCCTCCTTGGTGAAATGGAAAAGTACCACGGCACGGTCTTTGTCGGCGGCGACATTGCGTTTTTTGGCCAGCAGCCGTGGATCCAAAACACGACGATCCGGGAAAACATTTTGTTTGGCAAGCCGTACGACCGCGTCAAGTACAACAAGGTCGTGGACGCGTGCGCGCTCTCGAACGACCTGTCGTCGTTCCCGGCCGGCGACCGCACGGAAATCGGCGCCAAGGGGCTCAACTTGTCGGGCGGGCAAAAGGCTCGCGTGAGTTTGGCCCGGGCGTGCTACAGTGACGCCGACGTGTTCATTCTGGACTCGCCGCTGTCGGCCGTTGACGCGATCGTTGCGAGTGAGATCTTCAAAAAGTGCATCCTCGGCCTCCTCAAGCACAAGACTGTCGTCCTCGTCACGCACAACCCGGAAATCATCGAGTCGGGCGATGTCGACCGCGTGTACTTAATTCAAGACGGCAAGATCGTGCCGTCCACGAACGAGTCGCGCGCCGCGTCGAGCCCGACCGCCCTTCCCTCACCCTTGCCGTCGCGTGCTCCGTACTGGTCCGTGACGAAAGACGTGCCGGTCTTCGCTCCGGCCGCGCCGGTCACTCGCGAGTACGACCTCTTAGTCACGCCGACCCTTCGCACGCCGTACACGTTCAACGCAGCAGAGATGCTTTTCACGCCGCGCAGCACACTCAACCACCACGAGTTGACGTCTGGCGAGTCGAACCACGAAGACGGCCGCCTCGTTGTGGACGAGAACCGAGCCGAAGGCCGCGTGTCCAAGGACGTTGTGATCAAGTACCTGGACTCGATCGGCGGGCGGACCGCCGTGTGCGTGATGCTGGTCGCGACTGTCGGCATGCAGGCGCTCAAGATTTCGAGCGATCTGTGGCTGACGTCGTGGAGTAACTCGGGCCTGACGATGGCGCCGGAGGACTTTTCTGCTTCGACGAACCACAACATGTTGGTGTACGGGTCCCTCGCGCTCGGCAGCTGCCTGCTCACGGGGATCCAAAGCTCGTCGGTGTTTTGGTACGGCGTGAACGGCGCCAACAACCTGTTCCGCGCCATGCTGCACAGTCTCCTGGAAGCGCCCATGCGCTTCTTTGACACGAACCCGATCGGGCGCATCCTGAATCGGTTTGGGGACGACATCATTGCGTGCGACTTGCAAATTCCGTTCTCGATCGCGAGCATGCTGTTTGAAACGTCGAGCGCGCTCCTCACGCTCACGACGACGCTCGTCCTGACGCAATGGCTCGGTGTGTTTGTGTTGCCGCTCTTGTACATTTACTACCGCATTGGCGCGTTCTTTCTCGAGCCCCTTCGCGAAGTCAACCGCATCCAAAAGACGACGCGGTCGCCGCTCATCAGTCTTGTCAGCGAAGGCATCGACGGGTCGGCCACGATCCGCGCGTACGGCCCCAAGCAACTGCGCCGGTTCTACCGCGTCCACGACATGAAACTCGAGATCTTTTGTGCCTCTCGTTTTGCCAACTCGTCCATCAACCAATGGTTCAGTCTGCGCATTCAGCTCATCAGTAGCACGATCGTCGCCATGATCTTGCTCGCGGTCGTCGTCCTCCACGAATCGCTGAGCCCCGGCATTGTCGGTTTGCTCATCACGTACGGCCTCACGATCCCGTCCAACTTGGCGTTCTTGGTCAACATTTGGTCCCAATTGGAAACGTCGTTGATCTCGCCGGAACGCCTCTACGAGTACATCAGCTTGGAAAAGGAAGGCGAGCGCACCAACGCGGCATGCGACGTGCCGTCGTGGCCGGCGACCGGACAGGTCGTGTTTGACAACGTGAGCTTCCGCTACAAGCCCAACGACCCCCTCGTCCTCAAGAACGTCAGCTTCAACGTCCAGGGCGGCGAGAAGATTGGGATCGTCGGTCGCACGGGCGCCGGCAAGTCGTCGTTGATGATGGCGCTGTTTCGCATGAACGAAGTTGCGTCGGGTAGCATCGTGATCGACGGAGTCAACATCGCGACCGTCGGCCTCAAGCACCTTCGCAGCAGCCTCGCCATCATTCCGCAAAACCCCGTCCTCTTCAAGGGCACCCTGCGCAACTACCTCGACCCGTTCGACGAGTACACGGACGATCAGTTGTGGGATGCGTTGCGCAAGGTCAAGTTGATGGACCGTCTGGCGGGCGTCGAAGAAAAGCTGCTCGGCCCCGTGGAAGAAAATGGCGAAAACTTTAGCGTGGGCGAGCGCCAGATGCTGTGCATGGCGCGGGCGCTGCTGCACCAGGCCAAGATCGTCGTGCTGGACGAAGCCACGGCCGCCATCGACCACGACACGGACCAGCTCCTGCAGCGCGTGATTCGAGACGAGTTTGCGACGTCCACGGTGCTCACGATCGCGCACCGCCTCGACACGGTGCTCGACTGCGATCGCATCATGGTGCTGGACCAAGGCCAGTTGGCCCAGTGCGACGCCCCCAAGGAACTCGTGTCCCAAGGCACGGGCATCTTTTTTGAGCTTGTCACGGAGGGCGGGTACATGGACAAGATGGTCGTAGCGTAGGTGGTTTACATTAATGGCATGTGAAGTGGATGACGTGTCCAACAAAATGAAGTGCGCAGCGCGTTGCAGTGCTGGGGTGCATTGAAAGCTGCTGAGGACGCACGGATGGTCGAGCGGCTCCAAGGAAAGGGCACATGGATGGTGGCGCGGCGAGCGGAAGTCGCCTTATCTCCCCACCGTCGAAGTGTGTGTCTTTGGCTGTTGCAAGTCGCAGCACCGTCCGCCCCCTGTCGTACTTGGACCAAAGTTTCTGTTCATGTCAGGGCTTCTCCAGCGATCGCCTCGATGGATCGAGCCCACTCCTCGTCGGCCGGCGCGGGCTTCGGGTGGGTCCATCCTCGTGCCGGTGCATGTTTTTTCACTGGACTCAGGAGGCCAGAGGAATCTGGACACGGCGACGGCCTCGTCGAATCCAATCTTAGTGTCGTTGAAGGACGACGACGCAGTGGACAAGCACGGACGCCTGGATGCAGGTTGGTTTGGTCGCCGCCTCTCAAGGGCATGCTGTCTCGTGCGGAGAGAGCGCGGCACTTGCTCGCGCTGTCGTCGCCCTTTATTACACAAAAACCGGACAAGCGCCATGTCGACCCGCCACTTCAACAATTTCACACCACGTGCCAATTCCACATTTGATCGCATGATTGTCCTGCGCGTGATGCGACGCCTTATCGTCGTCGCCGGTGTGCTATCCGCGCCGACTGCCGCGAACGACGCGTGCGTGTATTCGCGGCTCGCTCCGTCCTGGACCAACGTCTTGGTGTGCGATCAGTCGCTGTGCCCGCCAGCCAACACGACGTGCATTGTCGACAGTGCGACGTGCCGATTCCTCGGCACGTCCGACAAGGTGTCATGGGACAGCATTGGATCGTTTAAAGACGTCCCTGCCAAGTTCTCGTCGTGGTACTGTTCGTGCCGCTGCGGGCGGTCATGGACGTGTGTAGGTCGTTCATGGGTGGCCGGAATGTGATCAACCTGGACATGTCTGGTTTTCCAGATCGATTCACCGAGCTGTACGTCCATCCGCACGACCATGGAGCGGCTCACCGGTGGGTTAGAAAATTCACCAACGTGTCGCTGCCCACGCCGTCCACCATGCCGCCGTGGCCATCCCATTTGCTCCAACTGTACGTCGCGTCGATTTGTCGATTCAAAGCGCAACCTGGTTGTTGTGGCAGCACCATGCAAAGCGGCAACTTGAAGTCGATTAGCACGCTGTCCCCGTTCCCGCCATCGCTTCAATTGTTGTACGACATTGCTCGTCGAATGTGTGGCCACGAACGACGTCCTAGGTATCTCGGGGCCAACTTTCTGTCGTCATCGGACGATTTGCAAGCGGTGCCGCCATCCGTCACGCAGCTGTACATGCCCATGTGAAACCCATTCGTTCAGTTCTGACTCGTACCTGCGCCAGGTCGCTGCAAAACAACGATTACACCGAGATCGCGGACCAAGACTGGACTCGCATGTCGACAGTGTGCGCATCGTCGCAGCGTTCAGTGGCGTTTCCGTGACGAGTCCGCTTGTAGGAATTTGCAAGACTGCGGGCTGCTTCGATCGATCAACATGGTCCAGTTTAGCACTGCGATTGTCAACTTGTACGTCCGCCACCACGTCGCTCGCGGTTCCGATCCGTCCTGTGCGCGTCGTCCAGGGACTTGTCGTACTTGACCTTGACTCGCTGGATCATGGACAACAGCACGTTCAAAGCCTTGACCACGTCGCTGCGGCCCAACACGACGGTGCAGGACGCCAAGCGGGACGATAGGCGATACCTTGGCTACCACTACTACGGCACCTCGATTCGAACCGACCCGACCGAGTGCCGCGGCCTGAATGGAGTCATTCAGGAACTGTGGGCAGATAAAGCCTTGCGGGACGCCAAGTATGCGGCCGAAGTTTACACCGTGTGCGTGATCCAAGGTGCACCCGTTCGTCCATGGGCCCTCGCGATGATGTGATTGTCGAGATGGCCCGTAGAGAATTCACGTGCGACGGCTCCCGTGTCAACCTTGCCACCAACTCCCACACCGTCGTCCAACCAGACGGCTATCATTGCTGGCTCCGTGTCGAGCGGTGTCCTGGCCTTGGCCATCGCTTGCTTTTTTGTTTGGCGCTATTATCGGCGTCCCGACCGCCCCATCCACGACGACGACGCGCCGTCAACGACCATGTCCCATCCGTACTCGAGATCCACCGACCCTCCCGTGTACCCTCGGTCGTCGAGGGCTTCGTCGTCTCTCAAAGGCGCGTCGGCCAACAGCGGCCTGCATGTACTCGTGCCTATCCAGTTGAACGAGTCCAACCTGCGCCTGGACAAGATCGTTGGGTCGGGCGCGTTTGCCAACGTCTGGGTTGGGTCGTACCAGGGCCAAGCCGTCGCCGTCAAGGAGTTGCTGCCCGGCCGCGTGACGTCGGTACAAATCCAGTCGTTTGTGGCCGAGATCCACCTGATGAGCTCGTTTTCATCTCCGTTCATTGTGCACGTCGTCGGAGCGTGCTGGACCAAGCCGTCCAACTTGAAGTGCGTGATGGAACTCATGGACGGTGGCGACTTGAAAGATTACTTGGAGCACCACACGCCCGCGACGTTTCCGTGGACGCGCAAAGTCCAGCACATGTACAGCATCGTGCAGGCGCTCGTGTACTTGCACTCGAAGAACGTGATCCACCGCGACATCAAATCTCGCAACGTCTTGCTCGACTCGCAGCGCGGCACGAAAGTGACGGATTTTGGCACGTCCAAAGAAGACTTGCAAGCCACGATGACCGTGGGGGTCGGCACGTTTCGGTGGATGGCGCCCGAAGTGCTCCAGGACAAAGGGTACACGATTTCCGCTGACATGTACTCGTTCGGTACGCGCAACGAAATGTCTCTGCCCATGACGGCGATGTATCGATGCGTAGGGATGATCCTCTCCGAGTTTGACACGCATCACATCCCGTACGTGGACCTGGTCACTGCCAACGGGCATCCGTTACCAGACAGCGCGATCATGCTCAAAGTTAGCACCGGAACGATTCGGCCAACGTTCACGCAGGATTGCCCCCAATGGGTCCACGACTTGGGGTTGCGGTGCGTCGCGCAGGACCCGAACGATCGCCCCACCGCGATACAAGCATCTTACGAAATATCCAAGCGCCTCGGTGCGTAGGAGGCGACAGAACGGAAAGTGCCCTGAATAGGACAAATATGTGCCACAAAACGAACACTGCGCAGTGTGCAGCACTCTGGGGCATCCTTTCTCGTCGTGTACCCACTGGGGAAGTCCTCGTGCTGATTATTTTTTGTCTTCCAAGATGACTATTGCTGTGTTGCGTCCATGCTTCTGGTGACAGGCGCCAAGCCACGGCTCGGTGCCACGCGGCAATCAAATAAGCCACATTCAAGTGCACGCACTCGGCGTCGAGTGCCAAGCGATTCAAACCGCTTTACTTGCGACGGCGCTGTCCGTGGCTCGGTCGTTTGCGACTGCCTTGTTGGATGTGGCAGTTTGTGATCTACGGAATAAAATGTCTTGTAGAATTTAATCAATTTTAACCACAATTGAGTGGGGAAAAATACACAAATTCTATACTACCTCTCTGTTCGATATTAGTGCCGACATTTGACTTCTCGGCCACCCCAAAATTGAATACTTGTCCAAATTCGATGAATCAAATCACGTTCGACGGAGAACCAAAATCTACAGGTAAGCTCTATTGACTGCAAAGCGGGAAGCGCAAGTTTTGGCGCTCAAATTTGACTTCGCCAACATGGAGCAGCGCCTTGCATTTTGACGCTCGCACGTTCGTCTCTCCGGTCCTCTCGGCTCGCGATCCGCCGCAAGCGGCGCCTGCGAAGCCGGTTTCCCCGACGACGCTGTCTTTGACGACATAAGGGATGTCGTACACCTAGACGAAAAGTGGTTCAATGCTGACACAAATGTGCGCAAGGTTTACCTCACGGAGGGTGAAGATCCAGAGCAACGTCCCTGGTCGAGCAAGATGTTCATCCCGAAGATCATGTTCCTGGCCGCCGTCGGGCGTCCCCGATATGACACCGAGCGTGGCACCTACTTCGACGGAAAGATTGGCATGTGGCCAATTGTTGAATATCGACCAGCCCAACGCAACTCCCGACATCGGCCGGCTGGAACTATCGTCGCAACGTTGGTCAACATTGACGCTACGGTGTACCGCAACTATGTCGTGGCACAAGTCATTCCCACTATCAAGGCAAAATTTCCTACCTCGAACAAGCGCATTGTGCTCCAGCACGACAATGAAACTCCACACGGCGGCGTCACCAACGAAGACCTTGTGAGCTCATCAACGGACGCGTGGACATTTGTTGTTCGCAGCCAGCTGCCAAACAGTCCAGACCTGAACGTTTTGGATCTTGGGTTCTTCTCATCACTCCAAGCCTTGCATCACAAGTTGGTGAGTCGTTCGTTGGATGATGTCATTCATGCAACACTTGCTGTGTTTGGGCTCAGCGGTGGCGAGACACTCGGAAATGTGTTTCTTACCTTGCAGGCCGTGATGCGTCTTGTTCTGGAGAACAATGGCGGCAACTTCTTCCGCTTGCCGCATTTGAGTAAGGATGCGTTGCGTCGTGCCGGTGCACTCATGTCCAACGTTTCCTGTCCTGTTTCGCTCTCGGCCTGAGAGACGACTCCGGTTTTTAACCAATAACATGCTTGTCTACCAATCGGACTGAAATGTCACAAGTAACTCGGAAGTATGGAAGTAGTCAGATTTGCAAATGTCGGCAGTATATCCGAACGGAGGAAGTAGAAATTACGAGTACTCTGCCGTGTTGAGCCTCCAAGGCGAAGCAAGTGTTTAACATTGCACAGAATACAGTGTCCAGCAGCAGCAGAGGGTTGGATATCGATGTCAGCGTGCATGCGCTTTGGCTGTAAAACAACAAGAAACGGGATGGCCGGCCTTGTTATTGAAGCCATTTAGAGTAAGAGTGGGGAAAAGTGGACTTCAATAAGTACTGTTATTGTGAATTTAGAAAGAATTTTCTCCAAATTGCAAATATCGAATGGAATTATCCTTAAATTTCTTTAAAAATACCGTTTCTGCTCGATTTTATATACATTTCTTTCTCTATATTGTGAATGGAATCACAAATTGTGCTCTACCGATATATTTTTTGTCTTAGCCCGGGTTGAAGTTTCGCTTTTATCCGAAATTGCTACAGAGGTATCCGGTCATGTTCGGTGACAAGATTTGTGCGGAGGATGTACACAGTGTTTGCGCTGGTCGTGCTGGTTGTGCTGGGGGTAGCAGGGTACCTCTTCTTGAATCGACAGGCAGTTGCTTCCGCAAATGAACACCGTGGAACGAAAGGACTGCAACCCAAGGAACACTCGGACATGCCGAAGCCACACACTAAGAAACCCCACTTGAAACACCACGGGCCGACGCACCACCATGCGAACTCAGCTGATATCGCCAAGCCCAAGCAGCCACACGTCCCTGACCATCCCCTGTTATGCCACGTGCTCAAGGGTCACACCGGTCCGATCACATCGGCATGCTTTAGTCCAAACGGCCGGTTCATCGCGACTGCATCCACGGACCGCACGATTCGCCTAACGTTACGCGAGTCCCTCGGGTCGAAGAATCCCACATTCAAGACCATTAACATCCCGTACGATTATGCTACAACATGTACATTTAGCTCGGACGGAAAGACGCTTGGTGTGGTCACGGCGGACGGCCAAGCTGTGATGCTGTACCACAAGTTCAAGACGAAGCCAGAATGCCTCCACACGTTTCCAATCCACCACGACGTCGCGTCGCTGCTGCTGAACGACGTCGGCGACAAATGGATGACCATCGTGACGGTCGGCAGGGATGACGACACCGTCGTCAAGTGCTGGGACGTTGACGGAGCACTACTGCAATCGACGAACATCCACCAAATCCAAAACTTCCACGGCATGCAGTCCAAAGACAACCGATTCATTGCCGTGGCTGCGTTCACGCCAGAAGTGAAGGTAAGTCCTGGTGCGATCGATGCCGTCGCTGCAGACCGGAACATCTCCCACCACGCCGTCGATAGATCTACGAAATTCACCGGAAGAAAGGCACGGGGGCGTTTGACAAAATGCACAAAGTGATGGCTCTCCAAGGCCACACGGTACGATTCGCATTTTTTCGTTGAGCGATGCGTGACACGACGTTGGCAGAGCGGTGTGTTGGACGTGGCTTTCGACGGATCCGACTCAACTCCAGTGAATCACATCGTCACGACGTCCAAAGATGGATCGGTCCGCGTGTGGGACATCAACGGTCGGGCTTACTCTTCACAATGGCGCAATCTTGTCTCATTTGCGTCTGCAGTACGCTACAAGCTCGAAGAAGACCCAAAATGCATCAAGACGTATACAAGCTCCGTCGTGTACTCGACGATCGACGTCACTCCAAACGGCAAAGTAGGCTCTCTCGTCATGGAGCGCTCGTGCGCCGCCGAAAGCTCGTCGCTGACCTGTTGTGGTGGGATTCCGTAGCTGCTTGCACTCGGCCATGGCCAAGACGTGACGTTTGTGCGTGTTGACTCGATGGAGGTTGTCCTGTCGATTGCACATGCTCAAGAAGGTAGACTCGGGATGTCAAAGGTTTGAAAGTCACTTGGCCGGATCATTTGTTGGCGTAGACGCCATCACGCGACTTCAATTCGATGCGGCTGGGTACCAACTGCTGGTCCAAGGCACAAACACGCGCCTGGTCAAAGTGTACAATGCCCCCGGCGTTGCCGCATGAGTACAGCACGAACTCAATTCGATGCGACGTAAATCATGATGGTTCGACCACTGGCGCACGCTTCGTCGCTCTAGCAAGCAAGGTATACTTCAATCGAAATGGTAATCTGCTCGAGGATGTTACTTGCGACGGGCTCAGCCCCATCTGCACCCTGGACAAAGACCTTGACGTCACCCGTACAAGTACTTGGCGACGTATCACGACGAAAAACTGTATTGGCTGGATTCAAGTGCCATTGAAATGCTAGCACAGAGAGGCTTCAAGGGGAAGGATGGGATCGACCGCACCCACGACGCAATCGTCTGGCTGCTACGTGGGCCCTGGTCAGTTCAACACACTTGCACAAGAACGTCTTGCTGAATGGGCTTATGTGCAGCCCGATTATTCCAGCGAATTGGAGAAAATTCATGTTACGTAGACCACACTGAGACTAGTGTCGACCGGACGCTTCCACTATCTACGGCGCCATTGACACGGTTGGCGCGTCTCCCGTGGGAATCAATCAGGTAGGGCATCAGGGTCTCGCTCAATCTTGGTCGTTTTCGTTCATTCGCGCCAGAACAGGAAGGAGGAGCTCCTGCAGCATGTTGACCTGGGCGTGCAAGATGCGCTTGTCCGACACACGTAGGCGCAGCGCCATGACATGGTGGGATTCTTCGTCGTGGTCGCTGGTGTCCACGCGAGCGATGGCGTCCAGTTCGGCCTCGTCATCCTCGACGGTAATCGGGAACGCTTCCAGCATTTGCTGAAGTGCGTAGATGAGCGCAGTCAAAGTGTCCTTTTCGTTGTCATCGTGGACTGGTTCAAAGGCAAAGTTGGCGACCTCGATCAGGTCCGAGCTGAGCTCGCCAACGTCCAGGCGCTGGATGCGGAGGTACGCCAGTAGCTCGTCGTTGAGGCTGTCGGGGTATAGCTCAAAGGGGGCAGCGGTTGCGTGGTCGGCGAGGCCGTGGCCCGTCATCAGCGCGAGTTTGCGGTTGTAGTAAGGAGCGTCGTCGCTCATGGGGGCCCATAATTCGACCACATCGAACGGGTTGGACGGCAGGACGAATCCGTACAACGTGAGCAACTTGTGGTTGGGCAACGCACCTGCCAAGTCGCCAGTGAGCATCCAAACATGCAACTCACGAAAATAATGTACCATAGTTGATACAGACTTGGGACCCGGCAGTCCAGTGTTGGTGCGACCGCAACACGAATGCGTTGGTGGTCGGGTCAAAGCCATGACTCATTTGCGCATGCGGGTCGTGATTGAACATGTCGAAGACTGGCACCATGCTCTTGGCCAAGTTGTCTTCGGCATCGAGTGCCACCGACACAAACCGACTCCAGATCACAGACAAAGCCCACTTGTAGTTCTAAAACGACAATGGGGACACCTGAAGCATGGCAATGACGGCTCTGTGTACGTACCTCGAGTGTGAAGACGGCCATGAGGACGTCGGCCGAGTGTTCTGCATGCAAGAGACGCAGCGTGTCCGGGAGCAAGGTCTGTTGGAGCTCGGCAAAGTCGGACACGACTTGTTGCTTGAGCTGGAGAGCGACGTAGTACACATTACTTCCTTGCAACATGTTGATTTCGTCCTCAGTAAAGTATAAGATGTTGTGGAATGAATGGGGTAATACGTCCAAGTGGCGCTTCCACTTGCTTTGGGGGTTCACAAACCGCTCGTAGATGAGAAACCACGCCAAGCAGTCGTCTTCGCGGAGTGGCAGCGACGCCAGGTCTCGCAGCGCCGACTGGGTCATCGTGTGCACGTTCAGCAGACTCTCCGCTGGGATGGACAAGATGGTCGTGTGCGGCTTGATCTCGTCCGAGACGTACACGCCACGGTCGCCGCCTTCGCTCTTCTCCTCGTACACCAAGTCTACATTCACAACGATGTCCAGCGCTTCCGACGCCCACGCATTGTAGCCTACAAAGAGGTCGTCCATGGCGGTCGTGGTGATTGACGCTGAAGTGCGAGTGTCGCCCTGTGTGCTGGCCAATCGAGAAAGCCGTGGGGAATTTCAACCAATTCCCAACAACATCGCAATTTCGCCATATTTTACCACATTTTTATCGACTTTTTTGTTTGTCCCCATTGCATATCCTGTGTGCATCAAGTTCAGGTTCGCAACTTCTCAGTACGCATTAGCTGCATAGAAGCAGCGCAGCAGCAAGCGCGGCGTACGCACAAGACCATGTCTTCACAGTTTGTATTCTTTGCCGGTACCTCCAGCACTCCCTCTTGACTATACTGCTGAAGGATTTACCTATTTTTGAGTGTACATAGTCGAAAATTTGAAAATCTTCCCTATAATTTGCCAAAGTTTCTGAAATTTTAAGGGCGAGTGCAAGCGCTGGCGTGAGTTATCGAAGGACATGCAGAGCAGGTCCAGCGACGATCCTGCAGACCACCAAGACAACTTTGTCGGGACTTCGGACTCGGATGAATCGTCCTCCAACGATGAACCGGTCGTCTTGGGTGGTGACGCTGTTCTCGGTAGCCGAGGCGCTGATCGCAGCTCGGAAGAACAAGACGACGACGTTCAGATCACCGACGTCCGATGGTCGATGTTGCGCCAGACCCCAGGGCAGCGGTTCATTCTTCCTACTCTGCGACCTCCGCACCGACGAGCAAACCCTCGGCCACCGCCTTCCTCAGGTGTGTCATATGCAATTGTACTCGTGGACGAGGACGACCCTCCTGACAACGCGCCTCCACCACCGCTGAAGCGACGAAAAGCCGACGGCAGGGGGGTCCCACCGACCTCTCCTCCACCTTCGTTAGATGTTGGCCGCTCCCGGCAAGATTCCATCAACGCAGCAAAAGTTCACATGCGATGCCCACTATGCCTGGACACCATGGTTACGATCACATCGACCAAGTGCGGCCACGTGTACTGCAGATCCTGCATTGCGGAAGCCATCAACCATATACACAAATGTCCTCTGTGCAGCCGCGAGCTCTCCTTGCGAGATATCCATCCCGTGTTTCTCTAACTTAACTATCCATCCCGAGATTCTCAACTGCACGTCGTCCTTTCATGTCTGTCCGCATGGGGACGACGGCTGTGTCACGGTCTAGCAGTTATTTCTGCCAATCCTGTGCCTAGAATTTCGCTTCAGCCAATCAAATCAGTAGAAACCAGATCAGCCAATCCATTTGGTCTAAAATCGCCCAATCCAAACTCTATCGAATCTGTGAGAAATTCCCTTATTCAGAACTTCAACCTATGGTACTCGTCCCACAGACAGTCGAAAGCTGGTCGGTCAGGTTCGCACGAACGTGGGAGATGGGGGAGACTCCAAGTGCTGTGCCCAGTCCATGGTTGAAAGTATACGCTCGATGGAAGCGCTACATAACGTCACGTTGAGTGTCGCCCAAACGTAGGTGTGCTGCGGGCTACCCTTCGTCGTGAAAGGTCCGTTGAGGTGGACGAGCCCAACGCTTGCGGGAGGGAGTACCGAGCTGACCACTTGGATAGTCGATGTTACTCACTAGATCATGTGGCTGAGCCCACGTGAACATGGCCTCGGTGCATCTGAGCCCCCCCGAACGGGCGGGGGGAGGGCGGTCAATCAACGCATTCTTCGTTTCTTCATGGTTGAAATTGCCTTAAACAGGTACTCAAGTTGTACCCCGGGGCACAGAGCTTTGTCGCACTGAATAGTTTCAAAGAGGGGGTTTCGCAGATAGAGGAGCACATGGCTAAGCCAGTTGCAACCTTGGCGAGGTGGTCGGACCAGCAGAACCTGTCCATCTCATGCCGGCACTACCACCACCGCCGACGAGGTATGCGCGGCAGTCTCGTCGTTGATGTACGTCAGCGACCGTGTGGCTGTAGAGACCCGCTCCATCGTATCTTGCACAAACTCTCGCGTGTCGCGTCCACGTCGTCGCTTCCAGACCTGTCGCGATCTCCATCGACCACGAGCTCGAGCTCTTCTAGCGCCAAGAGTATGAGTAACAGCAGCAGTCCTTCAGGCAAAAAGGCGTATGTTGTCGACATGGAAGGACCCCTTTGCGTCCTTGAGGGTTCGTCCTGGACGCCCGGGGCGGCGCAATCAGCTCCTGCCGACAAACCTCGATGGACCAAGGTAGTGTTCATATTTAGACGCGATCATACCGTGCGTTGAGGAACTTATCGTTGTTGTAGCGGTACTGTCAACTAGTTGGCGCGACTCTGTACATCTACGATGCTGGGCAAAGCGACGACCTGTGGGTAGATAAAGTCGAACTCAGTGTACCGCCGACGTCCACTGAGGCCAAACTCTTGTGTTCAACGAGTTCCACCTCGTTCACGCTGCCGCGGCACCTCTTCAGTCGCCCTGGGCGAAAAATACTCTCATTCGTACGTATTGGCTTGATCAAGCTGTCTCTGATCCGTCTCCGCTGCGACGTTGCAGGGCCATGGAAGCATTGCGTTGTCGGAGAGGCTACATTTCAAGGCCGCAACAGTGACCGAAGCCAAAGCATGGATCGACGCGTTTGCCGCCATCATAACACCGTCCCTCGCCAAGAAGCGACGGGTGCAAGACACGCCACCCCAAGCCTCGGCGTCGACAGCGCCAACGCAGCCGACATGCAGCACTGAGCATAGCAACCGCGCATCCCCAACGACTTCGAATCAGAGCCAACCCAATCTGCTCGCAGACGACACCGTTGCCGTGGCTGACCAAGTGGCCACCACGTATGTCGTGACACTGCCTTCACTGCCGCCCGCCAAAGTCCTTCACATCGTGCTTGTACGACATGGCCACTATGTGAATGCACACTCCAAGCACGCCCTCGACTCGGACCAAGTGCTGTCCCATATCGGTCGTCGCCAAGCCGACTGCGCCGGTCGCCATTTGCGCCACCAACTCGTGACCGGATCGTCGTCGAGACATGATCCTGTTCTCCTCCACAGCGACATGGAGCGGGCTGTGGAGACCGCGGCGATCATCAGCGGGTATTTTCCAGACAGTTGTCTCACCCCGACACCGCTCCTGCGCGAGGGTTGGCCCGGGGCGCCATCCAAGACGACCCTGGCCGTCCATGCAGCGTCCGATGAAGTTGGAGAAGAGGCCCGAGTCGCGAGTACCGCGCCGTCCCCCGAAGCACAGGCAGCCGAAGACCGGCGGCTGGACATGGCGTTCCAAGCCACGTTTGCGCTTGAAGATACCGACCAGGACAACGATCGCGGCCGCGCCAGTTTGGACCCTGAAGAAGTCCATCATGGGGCGGCGGCAGCGTTTGGTACGACCAACTGCCGCGTGGTGGTGTGCCATGCCAACTTAATCCGGTACTTTTTGTGTCGCGCGATGGGCGTGTCGGCCGCGGGTGTGTGGGGCGCATTTGAAATCAACCACTGCGGCATCACCCGCATCGACGTCAGTTCGACCGGCGCGTGCAAAATTCTCGCCGTCAACGAGTGCGGTCACTTACCGCAGACGTTGCTCACCAGCAGTACCGACCACTTATAACTTATTCTCCACCACGTTTTGAAAAGCTTTCAGCCTCCATCGTTTGACGACTCCACGCACGTACATCACGTTCGACACCACCGCATTCATATCGCACGCGGAGCAGCGACGTCAATCGTTGTCCATGTTCGACGAACGCACGGTAATGGGGTGGCGGCAAATGCCATGAGGTGGACGGAATGCATTCGAGGCGCGGGAACTGCGTCAGCGGCGGTCAAACCCCCCACTTCACCGAGGTCAAGCACAGCGCTGTGGCGGCAAGGGCAGCCAACGGAACGACTTCAAGTTCACGGGAATAATCGCCGACACTGCAAGGACGAGCGTCGCTCGTGACTGCTCGAACGAAAGGTTAGCATGAACATGGGCAAGCGACATGTTTGCGCGCAATTACCTTAGCATCGGTGCTGGTCTTGACGACCGAAGTGTGTCCAAAGGCAATGGTGGCCACGCAAAATGGGCATGCACAAAATTTCATGACGGCACCTGCAACCAGCACTTTTATTCAAACAAAACGCGGTCTCGAACAGACACGCAACAAGGGGTTCGGAGAGCCGAGGGCGTGCCTCCTGGTTACTGCTTCGATGGAGATGACGAATACGCCAGCATGTCGATTTGCATCAAGTACGCTTTCTCAAGGGCACATAGACCTATAGCCATCGCGGGGTCGACGACGTGAACTGACGACCGATCCAGTGCCTCCACGACGGCTTCGAGAGGGCCGTGGCGCAGCATGGAAAGAGGTAGACGAAGCTCTCGCAAGAGAGGGAGGTACGCCAAAGCCCGCACAATCGTGTCGCTCGACAGACGAGTCGCTGCCATGAGATCCAAGCGCCGTAGTGATGGCTTCTACACATGACATGGGGCATCCTTTGAGCGAGCTGTCAAGCGGATGGTTGAGTGCCCCCCTCTACGTACCTGAGTTAGCAATAGCAGGGCCAGGCTAGCCGGTGTCGAGTCCGGAGCCAAGCTCAAGCTGTGCCACTGCTGGCGCAACCACTGTTGGTGGAATGACCGAATGGGAGTCAGCGTCCACTCGTCATTCCAAACTGGAGGACTCATGGACGGCCACTTGCGACGAGGGTTCATCATCGTGGTTTGGAGAGCCTCTTGCCATGCAACTGTTTGCAAGATGCGCTCCATGTAGGTTGTGGCTGGAATCGCAAACTGCAACGCTAGGAGGGGGTGGTCGTCCGCGATGATCGTGGAGTCGGCGGAAGCATCTCCCACATGTGGGCTCGTGAAGTAAGTGTGCCAGAGCAAGGGTTTCGGTGACGTCTGGTGGTACCGCACAAACACGCCGTACTCGACAAACTCTCGAATGTCTAGAGCCAATGGACATATTCATGTGGCAACGTTGGGAATGCAAGTTGCGGTCGATCGTACCTCGTGGCAGCACGTGACGGTACTCTGCTAGCGCGTGCAGGATCGACATCGCTGGCATTTGCTGGATTTGTGCGGCCGTGACGTGGCCGTGCAAGGACAGCGCCAGGACCAAATACAAGTAGGCTACAGTTACCCCGCGCCACTTTTGGCTTTTCTTGGGAAGGCCGCGGTACTTGAGGAGGTAGATCGCTTCCTCTCGCTCGTCAAAGTACTGGGCAGATGGCACGTCGCAGGACTCGACGTGGCTGTCGACGGCTAGCAGCTGCACCAACGGCGGACGAGTCCTATATGGCAGTGTGTCGCTGGCTGTTGCGTCCAGGGATGCAGGGGCTTGGACCGCGGTCGCGCTGGCAACGGCAACGCGCTGAAGGGTCAACTCGCGTGGTTTCGCACCGATGCAGTCTTCCAACGCCACGATTGCATGAAGCACTTGAAAACACAACGAGCGGACGACGTCGGGCAAGAGAGGGCCGGGATTATTCGCGAGCCACGCTGGTAAGGTCGTCTTGCCGTCGCAAGAAGAGGTCACGTGTATGGATTTGGGATGCGTCGACCAATTCCACGACCTGATCGGCTGGGGTCTATGAATGGACCGGTCGGACGTCGACGTCATGCGGAGGCCACTTTGGCAGAATAACATGTGCACACACATGGCGGGGACCGAGTCGGCACACGCAAGCAACGGCCGCAGCGCGTAGCCTTCGACCGGAGTCACCAAGAGCTTTTCCCAAAATCCGTCGTGCCGGCACATATCTCGCCATCGCTTGCATACCATGGCGCCTACCAAGAGGTCTGGAATGCTGAAGAAGTCGATGACAAGGTACTCCATTCCACCGAGCGACGCGATGCCGCCATCGAACAACGATGGAAACGTTGGCAAACTACTGCGGCTAGCAACACTCGACGATACAGACGACGGTGGTGGCGATGGCGCGGGAGTTGATGTCGTCCAGTGCGATGGAGAAGGCACAACATGAATGCGCTGCTGCAGCGCGCGAACAGCATCCAGTTTGGCGCGAAGGTCCGACATGGTTGCCGCGGCCTGCGCAACCATCGTCTGTCGAAACGGATGTCTTCATGCAGGATACAGATCCTGCCTTCGGATTGGCCAATACCGGACATGGGCAATCTCACCAGCGAACACCAACATGAACGACAAGAAGCAGTCTGTCGGGCCTCGATGAAGCTTCGCAACGCCCGTGGGGACGTGCGGCTTGTTCGTGGCTACAGGAGCGCATGGACCTAGATGTGATGACGGCTTGACGTAGCACCTCGCAGTGTTGTAGATTGACTTCTGCAGCCTCAAAGTCTGAGACTCTGCTAGCTAATATCGCAGCGAACATACTCCTGCTCGTTTGGCACTTAGCTCAGAAGAGCGCTATGCGTGGTGGTAAATTCGCTACGTATTGTGACATTTGTGCAGGCGGCGCGTGGTGGGCAAAGCTCATGGCAGAAGGACCTGATCGACATGTTTCCACACAGCGAGAGAGAGATCTTTTTAGAGTTTCAGTTGCACGTGCGTCGCTTCCTATGAGGTTCACGAGCTTGACATGTTTCGCTTCACAATAGAACGGACTGACTCCCCTTCCTTTGCCAGAGCTTGGCAAACTCGACTCTCCTGCAACGTTCGATTATCAAAGATCAATACAAATACACGCTAAAAGCCGTCGCGACGCAGTACAGGCTATCGTTCGTGTACGTTTCCGTAGCATAGCAGTCCGTCTCGGCGTCCCAGAAACATCGGCACCCCATGCGCACGCCTTCTCCTCGTTGCTCGCCGATGACAACTTGGACCACGTACTTGCATCGAGGGAACTCACATGCCTTTAGCTGGAGTTTGACAGTGTCCGCGATCTCCTTCGTCAGCTGCGACGCTTTGTCCGACTGGTACGCCGTGTTGTCGAGCTTTTCTTGGAGCACTGCCGAAATGATTTGCTTCATTTTCGTCGTCGTTGGCTTGTTCTTGTAGCTTGGGCGCAGCGAAATGTACGCTGATTCTGCGGCAGTCGTCGGCGGCGCCATCGCCAACACAAACACGATCGAGTTCCTCGGTCGCAGTCGACGGTTTACTGCGCTAAACAGGCCACTCGCGACTTTGAAACCGACCCTTATAACCGACGACATCCCCAACCGACGTCGAACAAATCGCCCTTCTCACGCAATGTCAAAGCAAGTTCGGAAACAAAGTGCTCGTTGCAAGCTCGGTCGCGCAGTGTTATAGCGTCATCACAGTTTTGGGAAAGGAAAGGCGGCAATTGGAGCTGCTCGCGACAGAAACCTCGAAAAAAGATTATCGATGGGGGGGATCGAACCCCCGATCTTAAGCGTGTGAAGCTTACGTCCTAACCACTAGACGACAACGACATCCCTGCTGTAGTGGAATATTTTTCCTATATAGTGTTTTAAGTCGTTGTGTTTAGCCCAAAATCTATGAAAAGAATGTTGCAAAATTCGAAAAATCGTGCTTACTGATGACAGGCAAGTTGTAATCCAAGTCATCGTCGGCGATGGCATCTCGCGGCATCGTCAAGTCCTGCCAAGTCCAACTGGTACGGCGGCTGTCGTTGCACGTTATGAGCATGCATTGGAAGTGCCCAATGACGCATGACACGAACCCTTGAACTAGGAACAAGCGCTTGCGAACGTTGCGATTGCAGACGAAATTCGAGATGACGACGCCAGAGCGATATGGTCGGCTCGTGGTGAAGTCCTAACAACGCAGTCATCTGGGTGGTGTGGCAAGAATATAACATCCGACGACACGCGACCTCCCCTTCCGCGACATGTATTTGTGTGTGTACATGGAATTTACGGCAAGGCGCAAGACTCGGACCTCATCGCCGCGGCTCTCACTCGTGAGTTTGGTTCGTCTGCGCTCGTCTATCAAAGCACGGCCAATACACACAAGACGCACATGGGCATCCGAGCTATGGGCACGAACCTTGCCATCGAGTTGTTGGATTTATTTCACAATCATTGCCTTCCTGAACTCCCTCCCCATGACGGCGAACCTCCCATGCGCATCAGCTTTGTCGGGCATTCCCTTGGCGGGATCATCTCGCGCTATGCTGTCGTGTACCTCCAAGTAGCGTTTCAAGCATATCACATTCACCCCACGTCGTTCTCGACGCTGTGCACGCCGCATCTAGGCAGCCGTCGGCCTGATGGGACGGTTGGACAGGTTTGACCATTGCATGACACTTGTCGATCGAACGACGCTCACACTGCCAGCCATGATAGCAACTTTGGAAGTCCGCAGTGCACGGCATCATGTCGGTGTCGCTGATTTACGGTCAAACGGGGGTCGAGTTGCTATGCGAAGGTGCGTACGTGGCCAAGACTCGGCACCACGACGGTCGATCAACGGTGTGGTGGTAGATCACGTCAAGGAACCGCTGTTGGAAGCAATGAGCAAGCGCGGTAAATCCCCGAGTCCTGTTCACGATTCGCTCCATGGACGTGCTGGATAGACTCGGTCTTCATGAAGGCGCTCAAGGCGTTTGACCATCGCACTGCTGTGGCCATGATCCAGGGCGACCACATCGTCCCGTATGCATCTGCAGCCATTCAAGCGCATGTTACCCATCCCTGTCGAGACTTGTTGGGGCCATCGAACTGTTCCTGGCAGTGGACGCTGGCGCATTCGGGGTTTTCCGAGCCAACATCCAAGTTCACCACACTGCTCCATGCCACGTACGGCTCCACTCGTTGTGAAGTGAACGCGTCAAGTCTTTCCACATCGTCTCCAGCATCAAACGTCATCGTCGACGAGCGGTACCTACACACTACTCTGCCAGGACGAGTACGCTGAGCTCACGACCGCGCTCGATGCTGTAGCGGAGAAGTCAGCATCTCGACGACCATGCTCGCAGGCCTCAACAGCATTTCGTGGCGCCGCTTGCACGTGCACGTGCATTACGGTGGTCCATGGCAATGGTATTGGCTATCTTTTCACACGTGGCCGCTGGGCATTCAAATGCCAGCCAGCTCTCGCAGTTCCGACTTTATCGACTTGTTTGTCCGCATGCTGATGGATGACCACAAAACGGATGCGGCAACAACGACCACCCCTTGAGCAGCATCTACCTCGCAATGAATGGATGGCGTTGGCGCCGTCGAAACACCAACAATCGTGGTTGTAAACGCAATGCAACCATCGTAATGAATGCACCACGACCACAGACCATGTCCAACCGACTGGCAATGACTTGTTGCGTAAAACCTTCCTTTCCCATCATCGATTGCTCGTCCATCAGCACCACCCATGGCATGCTACCGTCAAGGCCAGCAGATAGGCAAGTGCTGAGGCATCTTTCCCATGCACGGGACCTGGTTCTGCAAGGAAACCGGGTCTGCATCTTGTTGATACGGCGTGGCATCCGTTGCGAACACGAATACTGGCCAAGCACGATCGGGGTTGCCGCATGGAACGACCCCGTGCAGCTTTTACACATGCTTTACAGCGTCATTGGACGGGTGTATGCAATTTCCGGGCGAGATGGTGGAGCTGCCGGGGGTACCCGTGTGAAAAAGGTCACCACGGCCGAACCATTCGATCGTATAGCGTTTAAGTGAATGCGTCGGGATCGAATTCGAGTCCGACTTGCATGCACTTTCGCCGTCCAACTCGACAGCCAAACGCAACTGCATCCAAGATGGGCATGCCGGTGTGAATGGCCGAGATGGTTGCCGCAACGAACGAGTCGCCAGCCCCGACAGAGTCCACGACGGCGGCAACCGGCTCCACGGGTACATGGGATACTGCCCAGTTGCTCGTATGCGCTAAACCATGCCGAACAAACGCTCCAGTCGCTCCCCATGGGCACACTATGGCTTTGAGACGAACGCCATCGGGGTCTCTGCCGCCTTTCCTAAACAAGTAAGCCGTGGATGGATTGAATCTCACGAGCGTAACTCACTGGGGCACCGTCCCATCGTCCAAGAGAGAGTTGAGGAACGCGATGGCATCAGTAAATCCCAACGACGTCACGTACACTTGGCTGATGAACACGTAGTCGACCAAGTGGAGCATCCTACATCATTTCTCGGTCAGGCGGAACATCGTCCTCTTGCGATCATGCAAATGAACTCCAACTTTGTCCAGGGCCATGTGTGCATTGGCAGACATGTTGAGAGCCCCGCGATGGAAGCAAACGTACGATTTGACAGATGCCCATGCGTGGCGTGGCCCTTCGACTTCGAGCGACAGGACCGGGATCACCGGGCGCGCCAGCCCAAGCATGGCGGACGTGGCGGTCGTGTCGCGGCATTCGAAGTGGGCCCACGATATCTGCCCTTGCCAGAGAGGTAGCTGAGATGCAAAGTGGGCCACGCTGAGCTCGGGTAGGTTGCGATGATGGAAGATCGTCCGAGACCCAGTTGCGTCGCTGGACATGATGTACTAATCGATACTTCAGTCAATAAACACAGGAAGCATATAACAGGCAAGGCATACCGACGTCGGCATGGACCCTGCGTTGACAAGTTCGCAGGATTCGAGGCTAATGCCATAGTGGCCGCTCAATTCGTCGCAGATGAATTTGGAGTCCGCGTTCACGAGGGGGTCAACAAGTGTGCCGACCCAGTGGAGGGCCTGGAACGCTCCAATTTGAGCACAGACCACCTGGGCGACAGCGACCACAAAGTTTATCGTCATGTCGACGATTTACGTCACTTACCAAAACATTGGTGCCATTGCCGCCCCTGGAATCGCAACACGCTCAGGAATGCGCGATCAAGACGAACGCAAGTACCTGGATCGTCGGGAGCTCGTCACTCGAATCTACTGAAGGCGTTGGAGTCAACGGTCATGCATGCACGTGTGGGCACGCCACTGCGATCGAACACACCTTGCTGTCCTCTACACACAGTGGCTCCTCACGACCTCAGCGGTCACCCTCGAGCTACACACCTGCAGGGAACTCTGGAATGGTGTTGATCACGTCAATGGTCGCGATTCCGACGACCAGGCAGCTGCCGTGCTTGTATGAGCGGAGTCCGTCCTGGGGTGTCATCGTTGGCGACGGTGTCGTCGATGTGTCCTGCCGACTTCACTTTTCGAACCACACCTCGCACAATAATATTACCGTCCTTGACAATTCTTTTTTTAAGTGCAAAGATTACATCACGTGTCGGGGCCGTTGTACATGTATTCCTTGTTTTGAATTATGTCAAGATTAAATTTTACAAGTGTAAAATGTCTTTTCAGCATCGACGGTTCACCAGGAACCAACGCAATAACTACATACCACACACTCCATCGCGCTGCCGCCAGGTTGTGCATCACGACAGCGCCGCCATGGTCATTTCGTAGACGTAAAACGTGACGGCGTTGACTGGGAACGCCCGCAGCATGGTCGTGCCAAGGCCCTTGGTAAAGATGCGCAAGCCATGCACACTGTAGAGCAACTTGGCTTGACGGGGAAGGCTCAGGTCCGACTTGGGGGCTGTCGTCGGAAGGCTCTGAATGACAGACTTGACGACGTCCAAGGGGTAGATGATTGCCCAGCTCACGACTCCTGCGCACCCGCCAGCAAATAACATTGACGCGGCGTCCTGGGTCGGGTTGGACTTAAGGCCGTTGGCCCTTTGGGATTGGAGATGCCGTAGCGTGGCTTCATACACGTAAAAGTAGACGCCGTACGAGAGGGTATCTCTGAGAACTGTCGGCCACACACCTTGGAACATGCCTCGGGCGCCATGTTTCGCGGTGATGTGTCGTATGCACTCTATAGGTCCTGCAAAGGCACGTTGGCCGCCACGTTGGAAGCTACGATCAGGACTAAGTGAGAATGCCTTCGTAAAAGGGCAAATTTTCTACCCGTCCTGGACTTGTAGCTGGCACTTCACCAAATCAGTGGGCGCCACGATGAACGACTGTACAAATCCAGCAATGCTGCCAGCGTAATAGATGGAAGAAAGCGAGGGCGTGTCCGTTTTGTCCAAAATGGGCAACGTACTGCCGTGCACACCGAACACCACCGCATTGATAGGGACACTGCCAACAAGAGGTGACACGAGACCTTTGAACAGCCCACGTACGCCTTCGTATTGTAGCTGCACATCAGTAGGTTCATTAGTCCACCAGAACCTCGGCAATGCCATTGAAGGACTGTACCGTGTGGCGGGCGCAATGCCACGGGCTCGCGTAGTGAGAACCGTGGGTTTGCAATCGCACTTTGATCGTGTCAAACGGTTGTCCGACAATGATTCCCATGACCCCACCAAGACAGCCTGCGGCGTAGTCAATCGCCGCGCGCTTCATGGCCCTCATGTACGCTTGTGCTGCCTCTGCCGTCGGGTCGTTCATCGCATGCTGCGACACCATCGTGGACGAGCAATCCTCTAAACTGAGGCGAGCGACATACTCTACAGCGAGAAGAGTGACCAAACTCTCCAATTCTATAATACACTAAATATTAAAGGTTATCATCCTGAAACTGGTAACAGGAATAATATCACACGAAATAGTACAAAGTAATATGTATCATATTATGAAGCATATCAGTTCAAATATTTTGTGTAATACTTGAAACAATTGAATTGAATAATGCATTATGAGATGCTTACACGTTCCACTTGATAAGCCACCAGTCCAGCCAACCATTTTGCATGCATCGGTTCAAATCGATTGGACAAAGGTCATAAACGTAGCCTTCGGCCTCGGTGGCTTCGCACAGACAAGGAACTTCAACAGGATGACCGAGTCGGACAAGAAGCTCGCCAAGAAGCTGCGCAAGGAGAAGAAGCGCCAGGAGCGCGAAGCGGCGGCCGTTTCCGACGACATGACAGCCGATGACGACGTTGTCGAGTCTACGAAGGAAAAGAAGCAAAAAAAGGACAAGAAGCGCAAGAAAGCTGAAGGCGATGACGACGCAAAGCCGTCAAAGAAGGCCAAATCCACCGTCAGCGACTTCTCGAACGGGCCGTACCAACAACCCCTCCCGTCCGATAAGTCGTTTGTCAAGTCGTTCTACGTCGAAAGCCCTGTGACTGCCGCCATGACCGACGCCGACGTCGACGCATTCCACCAACAGAATCAAATGACCATGTCTGGCAACCACTGCCTGTACCGTCCAGTCCTCTCGTTTAAGGAAATCAACTTCCCCAAGCACATGATGACGTCGACGACTGGGTTTGCCAAGCCGACGCCGATCCAGTCGCAGTGCTGGCCCATCTTGACCTCTGGCCGCGACATCATTGGGATCGCCCAGACCGGATCTGGCAAGACGTTGGCGTTTGCGATACCTGGTCTAGTGCATATCTCGGACCAAGTGAAGAAGAACGCAAATTTGAAGGGTCCCATCATGCTCGTCGTTGCCCCGACGCGCGAACTCGCGATTCAGTGCGCGGACGTGATCTCCGTGGCCGGGACTGCCGCGTCAATCTCGTCGATCTGCATATACGGCGGTGTCCCCAAACATGAACAGAAGCGCCAGCTCAAGCAGGGCGTCCATGTAGTCGTCGCGACCCCTGGCCGCCTCAAGGACCTCATGGAGGAGAAGGCGTGCTCGTTGAAGCACGTGACGTACTGCGTGTTGGACGAAGCCGATCGCATGTTGGACGACGGGTTCGAAAAGGATATTCGACTCATCATCGGGGGATGCCACCCCGAGCGCCAGATTGCAATGTTTTCAGCGACGTGGCCGCAGTCGATTCAAAAACTCGCGCACGAATTCTTGACCGACCCAGTCAAGGTCACGATCGGATCGGAAGACCTCTCGGCGTCCGCAAACGTCACTCAAATTGTCGAAGTGGTCGACGAGTTTGGCCGCGACGCCAAGATCGACGGCCTCCTGCGCAAATATCACTCGAGCCGAAAGAACCGCGTGCTTGTGTTCGTATTGTATAAGAAGGAAGCGGTGCGTGTCGAGCAAATGTTGCAGCGCAAGGGGTGGAGCTGCACAGCAATCCATGGGGACAAAGGCCAACAGCAGCGCATGGAGGCCCTGGACGCGTTCAAGTCGGGCCAAATCCCGCTGCTCATTGCGACCGACGTGGCGGCGCGCGGGCTCGACATCCCCGACGTCGAGTTTGTCCTCAACTACTCGTTCCCGCTCACGATTGAAGACTACGTTCATCGCATCGGGCGAACGGGCCGCGGCGGAAAGAAGGGCATCTCGCACACGTTCTTCACAAACTTCGACAAGCCCAAGGCCGGCGAGCTCGTCAACTTGCTGCGGGAGTCGAACGCGACCGTCCCGGAGGAGCTGACCAAGTTTGGCACGCACGTCAAGAAGAAGGAACACAAGCTGTACGGCGCATTTGCCAAAGACATCGACATGACGAAGAAGGCGACCAAAATTACGTTTGACGATTAATATACTAGTGTGCACGACATGACTAGCGGGTGTCGCTGCACCGAGAGATGGTGCGATGACAGTCGAGAGGGTCGGAGGTCGGGCTTGAGAGTGGCTTTGCCACTGGCATCTTCCTCACCACTCTATCAGAGAGCAACGAAGTGGCAGCGCCACGGCCAAGAACGTAGCAGGGCGCGCCGCGTGAGACCTCTTCCGAATCAAAGTTGTTCGGTTCACTGGCATGATTACAGTAGGAGTTGGCGAAATATACAAGATCGGCCATTCTGCCGTGATCAGCATTGGAGCCAGCGAGCCAGCCACCGATTCGAGGCCGAGACATACATCCCTCGGTAAAGGATCGCAGGAATTTATGGAGAATGCATATCTAGGGGGATGGCCGCTTGCAGAAACCTCCTCTCAGCCACCTCGCTGCGTCGTTGCCCTCACGATCCGAACGAGAACGCTCTCTGCCCTGTCCCAAGATTCACGGCGCAGACCACCCATTCATCCAGCGTTCTTTACACATGCAGAGTGCCTTGAAAAGCTACGGCTCGACGTGGAAGCGGGGGTTTTCAGCCAGCGGCACCAGTGCCAACACGACGAGGTCGATGGTCGGGCGGGAAGCCGGGTTTGCATCCAGGCATTTCCTGACGAGGGCCTCAAATGACAGACCTTTCGTTGTTGTCGACGTTGTGGTCGATACGTCTTCGGCTGGCAACCAGTCTAGGAACGGGGCCAAATCTTCGAGCGACGAGGCAGGGTTTGCCTTGACTGTGGCGACATGAGCGTCGCCGGCAACAGGGCCGAGGGCCTCATAGACGTTGGCAAAGGGGGGTGTCTGTGTCACGATTTCGCCAAACACAATGGCTAGCGCATAAATATCCGCGGCGAAGCTGTCGACCGGTTCGGTGGATGACAAGAGCTCTGGCGCAGCGTACACGACGTCGCCAGTGCCATACCGCTCCCCTTCGGCGCCGACGACGCCTCTTCGGCTGCAGTGCTTGGGGCGGCAGCGCATGAGCTGCTGAATGTTCCACTTGTACTGATTGTCATGCACGAGGATGTTGGAAGCTGAGATGACCTTGTAAGGAATCTGTTGGCTGTGAAGATAATGCAGTCCGATGGCCAGCTCGAGACACTTTTGATAGGCAATCAACTTCTCGTCCTGCGCGACGTTGGATGGTGGCCTTCGTCCCCCATATTGTGAGGTCGACATGACTGCACCGCTGAAGAGAGTTGGACTCCGCAAACGCGATGCCAGTGTGCCTTGCTCCATGAACTCTAGGACAACGCAAAATGTCGTCGAGTACGCGACTACGGTAAAACCGAGGACGCGAACGATGTGGGGATGCTCCAGCGCTTGAATCCACACGGCATCTTCGAGGAACGCGTGCTTGGCGCTCGAGTACGTCTGCGTGAAGTCGATGCATTTGAGAAACACTTTGCGGTCATCCAGCATTGCCACTTTTGATCCACTTGGGCGCTTTGCACCCTTATGCGGCGTCACGTGGATATTCTCGAGCTGGGACAACCAGTGTGGCGACAACTGGGGATGGGTGGCAAGTGTCCGAGGATTTAATTGCTCGTGACGAGGTTTGTGCTGATGTGAACCCGACGACTGCGCCTTCGCGTCGAAATAGGCGCTCTTTAGAAAACCGTCGAGGAATGACTTCATGGCGCTGGAAGATGGCGTGGAGGGCGGCTCGCGGTGCCGATCGTGCCAAGAGAATGAAGCTTGTCGTTCTGTCACATACTCGTAAACGCACCAACATCGACATACACGCAGTATTTACTAGAATTCAATACGAGGTCGTAAAACACACCATTTTGCACCATCCTTGCTGCGTCTCGCCTAGATCTACGAGCTCAAGTCCGGACTCATTTTATGTTTATAGCCCCAGCGAATCGCAACGCTAAGTGTAACCGAGGTATGCGAATCCATGAGCGATGGGGTTGCATCAAGGACGACGCAACAGCATTGCTAAATCCTGACGTACCACACACCACGCACTTGCGCACCTGTTTTCCAATATTCGACACCCAACAAATCGGTGCGTTAATTGTCGCATTATTCCCTTGAAAAAGGCCCCTTGACTGTGGTTTTCATGTGCGACAACATAACCTTCTTCAAGAATTGCGCTCGACCAGCTCATCCAGGCGATGCGTATCATACTAGACGTAGTGTAATCACGACTAAACATGGTCTTGTCAACAAAGGCATCGTGGAGAGTACATGATTGGTTATTCGTTCACACAACTAACTACAATTCCAACATGAATGCAGACATACAGGCTGAAAGAAGGTATTTGCGTTCCCCCTATCATTATATAGCCCATAGAATAAAATGAAAATACCAAACTAATTACCTTTAATATACGATAAACCGCGAACTTAAATGATCGCCTTTGCCCAATCAAAACAGAACATCAGGATTTGCTGAGGAGCTGTGGACACGAAGGAACACTCATCACGTCGCCGCCGACATGTCCGACTCCGACAGCGATCTCCAGCCGCTCCGAAAGAAGGTGAAGAGTTCGTCGTCGAAGCCCTTGAAGAAGGTCGCGGACTCGGATGACTCGGACTTTGATGACGACGTGCCGCTCACGAAGATCAAGGTAACGAAAAAGAGCGCGAAAGCACCGACGGACAAGAAACCGACGTCTGGAAATGCGGTGAAGAAAGAGTCGCCAGTGAAGAAAGCGTCTTCAAAGAAAGTGTCTGCAAAAGATGCGAAGAAGGCGGGCAAGAAGAAACTCGCTGCGTCGGCGAAAGTTAAGGTGGAAGGTGGCAATGTGCGCAAACTCAAAGTCCAGAACAAATCGGAGCGACTGGACATGGCGATCAAGGCGTATCGGTGGTGGAACGCAGAGGAACTCCCAGAAGGAATTCAGTGGAGGAGTTTGGAGCACAACGGCGTGCTGTTCCCCCCGTCCTACGAACCACACGGGATCCCGCTCATCTACGACGGTGTCCCTGTGACGCTTACCCCTGAACAAGAGGAAATCGCATCATTTTTCGCAGCGATGCCCGCGGATGGTCCGCAGCTCGGCAATCCCAAGACCGCCGCCATGTTCACGAAGAACTTCTTTGCTGACTTTAGGGCGTCGCTGGGCAAGAACCACGTGATCAAGGATATCAAAAAGTGCAACTTTGAACGTATCCAAGCGCATTTGAATGAGATCGTACGTCCATGTGAACCTCAACTCTATCGAGTCAGCGGCCATCTTTCACGCTGTGTCATGTCGCGAGCCAAGGAAACACCTGATGTGATTATGCATTAGCGTGATGCGAAGAAAGAGCGCACGAAGGAGGAGAAGGCGCCTGAAAAGGCCAAGAAGGACGAAGAGCTGTACCGCCACGGGTTTGCAATTGTTGACGGGTTCGTTGAGATATTCCAGGCATCCAATGTGCAGGCCTTTTTGCTCGCCTGTGCCCAGCTGCAAGGCTTTCCTGCATTGGTTTTGATTTTACACGGGGGACGGCTGCTTTTGTGGTGATCTTCTGGTGTGCTTTCGACCGCTCGAGATGTTGTCGCCACTCGATGGCATTCTTCGTGTCAAGGGCTTTCTTCGACAAGCTAGTCCCGCTATACTCTGAAACTGACGTCGATCGTTTGGAATATAGCCATTTGGAAAAGGTGGGCAACTTCAGAATAGAACCTCCCGGGCTCTTTCGAGGACGAGGCGAACACCCGAAGACGGGGACGTTGAAGAAGGCGGTGATGCCGGAGGAAGTCACGATCAACGTCGGGATGGAGGACCGCGTGCCTCCGTGCCTGACCCCTGGCCACGCGTGGAAGGAAGTGATCCATCGGGACACAGTGTCGTGGCTCGCGTACTGGAACGAAAACGTGATGGGCGGGATTAAGTACGTGTGGCTGGCGGCGTCATCGAGTTTCAAGGGCAAGTCGGACATGGAAAAATATGAGAAGGCGCGCCGGCTGAAAAAGTGCATTGCCAAGATCCGTAAAGATTACACGGAGGGACTCAAGGCCAAGGACATGTTTACGCGCCAGCGGTCGACTGCGATGTGGGTGATTGACGTGCTCGCGTTGCGTGTGGGGAACGAAAAGGGTGAAGACGAGGCCGACACTGTTGGGTGCTGCTCTCTCCGAGTCGAACACGCGAACTTCAACAATACGAATTGCGAGCTCACACTGTCCTTCCTTGGCAAGGATTCAATGCCGTATAACAACACGATTCAGGTATGTGCACAACTCGAATGTGCATCCGCCTCTCATGGACGTGGCCATTCCATTCCAGTTGGCAATGTATGGCACGGTGGGCGAGCAAGTGTACAACAACTTGAAGAGCTTCTGCGCCAAGAAAGAGCCCCATCAAGACATTTTTAATGAGCTGAGTGTCACAGAGCTCAACAAACACTTGAGTTCACTCATGCCGGGCTTGTCGGCCAAGGTTTTTCGTACGTTCAACGCATCCGTCACACTCGAGAAGGAGCTGCCAAAGGTGCTGGAAGGCGACGACGTGGCTGTCAAGGTCGTTGCTTACAACGATGCGAATCGAAAGGTCCTTCAAACCGAATGTTGTCGGCAAATGTGGACTTGATTGACATGCACATGCAGGTCGCCATCCTTTGCAACCATCAACGGACGGTGCCCAAGGGTTTCGGGTCGACGGTGGACAAAATGAGCGCGAACCTAGCGCAGTTGAAGGATCAACTCAAGGAACTGGAAGAAATGCGCATCGCGGTCAAGAAAAACAAGCCCAAGTCGATTCAACTGCGCCAGGATGACGATGGCGACGATGCCGATGAAAAGAAGGCGCAGTTGCATCGGTTTGTCAAAGTCCCGACCGTCGAGCAAGTGGACAAGAAGATTGAAAGCTGGAGCAAAAAGGTCAAGGCGCTGGATTTGCGCCTCAAGGATAAGGTACTTCCTCGATCCAGAGCTGTCCACCGTTTGGTCTGTTTCGCAAGTGGGCTGACCTCGAATATTTGTCATTTAGAATGACAACAAGGAAGTCGCACTTGGCACGTCCAAAATCAATTACATGGACCCGCGGATCACTGTCGCATGGGCGAAGAGAGTACGTGGCTGACCTTTTCCCCCGCTTCTCGTTTCACCACTCATCGCTGTGGCGGGTAGAACGAAGTCCCGATTTCGGCCGTGTTTCCCAAAGCCCTCCGTGAAAAGTTTGTCTGGTCCATGGATGTCGACCCGAACTGGGCGTTTTAGCCATGTGTGTGCGTGCCCTAGCCACCCGTCGTCGTGTGGCGAGCCACCAGCCATACTTTTCAAATTACTCTACAAATCAAACCAACCTTGCCACCACGACCGTCCGTTCAACTTGTGGCTATTCCCGCCACACGTTTGTCTCTATTGCGACGCTCGGGACATCATGTCCAGAAGAATCCGCGTCGTCTGGCAAAGGAATGGTATTGCATCTACCGACACATGACAGATGCGCATGATACACTCTGATTGCGGCAGCCGCAACTGCTGGCTATGGTTGCATGTAAGGCACGCCAGGTTGATCTAGAGAAGCACTCCATTGCGTTTTGGATGGAGCATCTCGTGCCGCCATGCAGCCGCGGTCGACAGATTTGGCTTAAATACAGTTGTGTCTCGTGGGCTCGATCCATTTCGACCGTCCGCCTCAATACACTGTCGACTGGGCACTGATCAGCGCAACAAGGATCGCTTGCATGGACGGGCGCTTGGCTGGGTCTTCCTGGAAGCACGCGGTGATGAGAGCTGCACATTCTGGTGGAATTGCCGTGGAAGAGACATCGAGGCGGTGGCCTTCCAGGACGCGAGCGGCTGCTTCGTGGGGCGGGATCGCGCCAAATGGTTTCTGCTCGACCAATGTCTCCCACATGAGCACACCAAACGAGTACGCGTCCGACTTGGTCGAGAACCCGTATGGCGGTTGAAGCGACTCAGGGGCCATGTACTTGAGCGGGCCAATGCCTTCCTGCACACACGAGCCCCCGTACGCGTTGTGAACCCGGCGGCACATGCCAAAATCGCAAACTTTGGCTCGAGCATTCGCGTCGACGAGGCAGTTGCGGGCAGCTACGTCGCGATGGATGAACCCGCCGTCGTGGATGTTGAGGAATCCCGCTGCGGCGTCCACAAGAACCTGCATCTTTTGCTTGAGAGACAACGTCGATCGGCGGTCCTCAAGGTTCCCGCCTGGCAAGTACTCGGTCACGAGCGTCAGCGGCTGCGAAAAGTCCGTGGAGGCGCCGACAAACGGCACAATATTCGGATGGTGGCCGAACATGTTGAGCACGGCAGCTTCATGGCGAAATTCTTTCACGATATGGTCGGTCGTGTCTCCGAGTTCGCTGGCGCGAATCGTCTTGACGACGACGTCGCGGCCGTTGTAGTCGGCACGGTACGCGTCCCCAAAGTACCCGCGCCCGACCAATTCTTTGAGTTGCAGCGACGCGTACGGGATTTCTCGATAGGTTTCGTCCAGCATTTCGAGTTCCGCGTGGAGGGGCGCCATCGCGCAATGGTCATTGTCGTGGGCGGCAGCGTCTCGAGTGGACCTCTTGGCTCCAGACACCACCACAAACGCTCGCAAGTGCATGACACTCGCGCCAAACACCACCGTCGCTTTGAACAGGACTTGGCCGATGGCGACATCATCCGACGCCAGGATGGCAAATTGCGCGGCACTCGGCGTCCCTGACCACGTCAACGCCTGCGTCGTGGTCCCTCCGACCACTGCAAATCCGTTCGGGACTTCTAGGGTCACATGAGCGCGAGCGCCGCGACGCAGCGGAAACAATACATCGCGGGACATTTGCGCCGACGATGGATTCAGCGCCGACGCTTCTTCATGCATGTCGTCGCGCTGGGTCGACAGAAATGCCCACACGGCAAACGTAAACTCGGACGCGGGTTGGACAAACGGAGGCGCGTAGGCGACCATGTGCACCGGTTCGTCAAGAGGATCGTTGGGAGATGGCGTAAAGGCATGAGGTTGCTTGCGCAGACTCGTGAACGGGGTGTGGCGAGCGCCAAAGCTATCCGACAGCATGGAGGGTGGTGCGAGGGAGCGGAAGACGGGAGGAACGACCGTGGACGATAAATGGAATGGAACGATTGGCGTCGACGTCGCAAGCGCAGACGTCGACAAAATCGACGACGATCGTGGAGGCGACAAACTGTCGTATGGCACAGGGGACGTAGTTGCGAGAAACGAGTGGCTGTACACAACGGGCGAGCCCCACGTGTCTGGCCCAGACATTCCACGAAAGACTGGTGAATGAAACACCTGTTGAAAGCTCTGGGTCGGCGGCAGAAAGCTGTTGGACAACATAGTGTTGTGAGGGTCGCTGTGGCACGCGTGGATCGTGGTCGAGATCACGTCATCGCCGTACCGGGGGCTCTCGATGGCATAATTGCTGCCTGGAATGCCAATGTGGTGGGAGGTCGCGATGGGAATGTACGGCCGTGTCTGGGAGGCGATCTCTTCGATCAGTTTTTGCCGGCGGTCTTCGAACCCTCTGCGTTCCTTCTCCAAACGTCGGCGCAGTTTGTTGTTTGGCCCCTGGGCGAGCATCGTATCATATTGTGCAATCGACGACTCGACAGTCACCAAGTCGGCTTGCAGCGTAGTAATGTCCGTGCTGGCGGCGACAGAGCCCGACGGCTTTTCGTCGAGATGGCTGGGCGAACGGGTCGCGTTGTGGTCCACCCGCGTGGGAGACAGCAGATTCACTGGGGTGGTGGGTGCTACGACGGGCGCGGCAGCTGGGGGACTCGTCTTCCCAGAATGAATGGAGATTGGAGACGACAAGGACAGTTGCTGGAGGGATCTCCCGGGAGGACTTTGGTTGGCCACTTCCATCGCTGGATTGGTAGCTGCCACGATCGACAGATATTGCGGAGAGAGTTCGTCGGCTACGGCAGGTACGGCTGACCGAGATGATTCTTGAAATGGGATAGGGTGCTTTTCGGCGACTGCGATGGCCACAACGTCTTGGTCCGTGCGGCGAACTCGCGGTGATTTGTGGTGGAAGCCATGGTTGTCTTGTAGCGGACTTTTGAGGTCACAAAACGATGCATACGTCCCAGAAGGACGGCTCGGGACCGTGCCTTGACTCAACAAGTGGGTGCCTTCTATTTCGTCGTCGACCACTTCAGTGATCTTCCTGTGCAAGTAGGCGCATACAGAAACCACGCACAGACTCAGCACTGACGCAACCGTGTACCCTGCAACGAGATAGAGCGACCAATACAAAAGGGCGGTAGTTGTCAAACGCGCCGCCCTTCCCTCAACAAGCGATTGCATGCCGAGCCCGAAGATCCACAGCGGCGATATCGTCGCAGGAAGGACGACAAGCGTTTTCCACAACAAGATGTATAGAGCAACATACTTAGCGTGCCGTGCAGACGTGTATGTTCGGCGTGGACTGGCCAACGAGTCGCTTGTGATACAGGGATCATAGAGACCAAGAAGGGACAGCTCAACACGCCAGAAGATTGTCACATACCGCGAAAGCATACCGTGGACGCATCGCCGGCACCGCTTTGTGACGGGTTCGTCGGCCAGTTGCGAATGTTGCGGTTGAAAGCTCACGTAGATTGCAAACGGGACAATGCAGAGGCCAAGGACGGCGACGGCGACATCGACTGCAACCGTCCAGATGAAATTGCAAAAGTAGAACAGCAGAGTGCGCACAAGGGATTGGCGTTCACCAAGGCACCAATGTAGCATGGAGTTGTCGGGCATTTGGCGGCGGCGAGGTGGCGGTGATGGCGCAATGCGTTCACCTCTGGTGGTGGCCATGTGGGCGATCCCCAACCAGATGACACTGGCAGAAAATTCGACAAACAATCGGATAACGCAATCATCCGGATAAAAATCCTCCCCTCCGGTTCTTGTCAAATACTCCTACTACGTAGTACTTGCCTCTGTTCCAAAAAGGTGGAGACAATTTCAAAGGTCCGTATTTTATCTTATTTTTTGTATTCATGAAACACATCAAAACTGTATTTTTATTCATTTTTCAACTTTCACGACAGATGTGAACATGATGTGATTCACTCTGCGTCGTCATTAATGGTGCTCAATTCTTCGACTATGCCGCAGAGTTGATCAATATTCGAAACATTGATCGAACCCTCTAAAGAACACGACG